GAAAAAGTGAAACATCATCAAACGACGTTCTAAGTAAGAATAAATTTAAAATTTAAGAAAAACAACATGTTTACACATAAAGACACTTTGAAAGTCGAAAAAATATAAAAAGAGAGAAATAATTATTAAATAGAATTATATAATAAAAATTAATCACTTGTGACTAATTAATTAAGTAAAATTAAAACTATATTAAAAATATTATTAATTTAAAAAACTAAAAAATATTAAAATCAAAGCCACAAAAAATTAATGAAAAGTCTTTTTTGTGGCTTTGAGTTTAATATTTTTTTAGTTTTTTAAATTAATAATATTTTTAATATAGTTTTAATTTTACTTAAATAGAATTAATTAATTTTTCTTGTGAGAAAATAGAATAAATATGCCACGTAACGGGATCATTCCGTATGATATTGGTGACAATATGTCCTGAATAAATGTCTCAATTCACGCATGACTCTTTCTGACGGATTAGACTGCAGGTGGTATACACTTGTATGAGTAATTGGAATGCCAAGTTCAGATAAACAGGATTGCCATCAATGGCTACTAAACTGTTTGCCGTGATTAGAAACTATTTATATGGGTTTCCTGTGAGAGGGAATGTAATCCATAATTATTCGTTTAAGGGTGTCAGAAGCCGTGCCCCTTGTTAACAGGTACAGAGGAACAAATCTTGAAAAATGATATAACACCACAAAAATATACTGCACTCCATTTCAACCAATGGGAAGTGCCCCATAAATATCAACTAATACTCTTTCCAATAAATTTTCCGACATAATATGTTGCATAAGACCTTCCGCCCGCTGATTAGAAGTCTTAATTGGCTGACATATATCACCGGTTGATAATAACTGACTATCCGTGTTATTAAAAATACAAAATTCTTTCAAATATTTCTTTACTCCAGATGACCATATAATTTATCTATCTATCTATAATTGTAGAATCTTATTAAATACCAAAAGTTAATTAGAAATGATTACTATGATTTCTATTTAAGTAATCTATTACGTTAAAAATGTAAAAAAAATCGAGCTTTTCTAATAAATTTACCGTAAAAAATTATTTATTAAAGTTAATTATAAAATTTGCTGACTTCATATTAACCTTAACAATACCAACAATACTATTTAGTGATGTCAATTTCAAACTTGCAAGTTGAGCTAAATGTCATGGTTATAAATTCATTTTTTTTTTATTATAAACTTACACTTTTAAGGACGAAATAAAGTAGGTTAAAAATTATTACTTTTGACATATTAAAAATCAAAATCAATAATAATTTGAAAACAATTCAATATAACAATTATTTAATATATAATTTTATATTATACAGAGTGTTCAGTAAGTTAGGAAACAGTTAAATTGTTACAAACAATGAGTACAATAGAAATTCGTTTCCTTATTTACTGAACACTCTGTATTTTTGAATCTAAGAATTACTAATCTGGACATAATTAAGGAAATAGAAGTGATGTTGCTGTTGTAATAATCCAACATTTTCTAAGAATTAAACACTATCTACAGATTTGCATCGAAGCGTTTCTTATAATAATTTTAATCACTGTCAGATTAAATATACTGGACCTAATTATGTCACGTCTTTGCTGTGCTGGGTTTTTTTAACACGCTTATATTAGTTTCACCTGTATGTGTTGTATGTATGTATGTTTGTAACTCTCCACGCGTTATCGCATATTCCGTCGTCTAAGGCCTTGAGACTAGACTGTCATAACGCATTCACCCTACCCTACGCCTCGCTCATTACACGCCGACAACACTATTCCAGTATTAATTTATTTTTGATTATCGTACTCGTACACGTGTGCTTGTCATCAATGTTATATATATATTGTAGTAAATAGCTGAATAACGTCGATTTTAGTATAATATGGGGTTTAAAACAATAGTACGCAATTTTTAAATTCTCAAGCAATACAGTGGTGTCATATAGAAGGGAAATGCAGGGTAAGCAAATTAATAATGGTGGGAAAAAAGAATATAAAATGGAAACATGAAAAGGATAGAGGTCTGGACGTTTTTGTCGAAGAAACGTCGAGTTACGTGTACGCGAATGTCTTTGTACGATTTAATTTTGATTTGTGTTACATTTTTGATATTACTTTTTAACTTTGTGTTTGATACGTTGCTTAAATAAAATAGCTATTTTAAAACCTGGACTTAGAGCAAATATTTTATATCCATCGTGTTCTTAGAATTGTGTGTGTGTGTGTGCGGCTAGAGTCAAGGTTAGACTACTGGTCCTTTAGTCAATCTAAATAATTATTGTACGAGCTGGCTAGTTTTTGGGCTTAACCGTCCTTTAGTGGGTATAGTAAAAAGGTAGTTGTGCTGGTGGCTGACAAGGAGCCACCCTTCAGTCTGCTACTTTTGAGCTAGACTGTGCTGACGGGTCTAAACTCTACCCCTTTAGTAGTCCACTAATTAGAGGGATTGGGNCACGCTTTTTCTAATTAAGAGATAGAAAGTATTCATTCCGATTACGAGGATGATTTCCGTATCGTTATTTTTCGTCATTACCTCCATGTTCCGGGAGTGAGTAATTTGCGCGCCTGCTGCTTTCCTTTGATGTGGTAGCTATTTCTCTGACTCCCTCTCCGGAATCGAACTCTGATTTCCCGTTATCAGTAACAACCAAGATATTGATAGTAACTACTATCATAACATGAAACTAAAAAGTGAACAATAAATATAGTTTAAAAAAACACGCTTTTAAAGCACATCGAACTAAAAAATTAAAAATAATTTTTAAAATAAGCTTAAAATAATTATGAACAAAAAATACTAGTATAATTGTGNAAAATAATTATGAACAAAAAATACTAGTATTATTGTAAAATATGGCACAAAGCACTCACGCTTTTATCACAATTATACTAGTATTTTTTGTTCATAATTATTTTAAGCTTATTTTAAAAATTATTTTTAATTTTTTAGTTCGATGTGCTTTAAAAGCGTGTTTTTTTAAACTATATTTATTGTTCACTTTTTAGTTTCATGTTATGATAGTAGTTACTATCAATATCTTGGTTGTTACTGATAACGGGAAATCAGAGTTCGATTCCGGAGAGGGAGTCAGAGAAATAGCTACCACATCCAAGGAAAGCAGCAGGCGCGCAAATTACTCACTCCCGGAACATGGAGGTAATGACGAAAAATGACGATATTGGATTCATCCTTTGTAATCGGAATGAATAAGTTCTATATTTTTAAATAAGAATAAAGTGTGTTAATATATATTTTTAATAGTAATTAGAATATATATATATATATATACATGTAAAGCGACTTACGTACGTAAACGTATCATGCATTAGGTATAGCCGTGTTTTGTGGGCAGGCGGGTCGGACTAACGTTAAACCTAAGGTATAAACGGCGGTAGGAATATATACGTAAGCCGTATGCACGCGGATGATAATGGTCAGTCAAAATAAAAATTTGTTTATATATATATATATAATATTGATGACAAGCACGCGTGTACGAGTACGATAACCAAAAATAAATTTATACAGGAATAGTATTGCCGGCGTGTTATGAGCGAGGCGTAGGGTGGGATGAATGCGTTATGACAATCTAGTCTAGACGACGGAATATGCGATAACGGGTGGCGTTTTGAGAGTTACAAACATACATACATACATACAGGTGAAACTAATATAAGCGTGTTAAAGAGGCACACAGGTAGGGACGATTACATAATCAAAACTCACGACGAATACCAACAATGTTTGACAAAATACAAAATACAACAAACGCGACATGAAAACGGTAACACTGAAGATGACTAGCTGCTGATAGTGGCGGGGGGCGCCACAACCTTAACGATAACGGATAATATGATAACCGATCACAAATTAATTATATATTTTTGAATCTCCATGACTGTAATCATAATATTATTGAGTAACAATATTGTGATATTATATTGAATATCGTCGTTTCTGTTGCGTATTAAAAAATAATCTTGTGAAGAGAAAATGTAATGCAGTATTACACTGATTTTTATTTTAACATTTCTAGACTTTTTTTTAATTTTAATTTATAATATTTAATTAATATTAAATGGTCATCTTTTATATGCATAGTATATTTAACATGTTTCAGTGTATTGTCTCTATAGCGAAATGTTCATGTCTAAATATACTGATATTTCAAGAGTATTTAAAGGAACTCAAATGGTTTTTGAAGAAATAATTAAAATGAATGAAAAAAATTGTAAAAAAAGAATGAAAATATGTTGTTTAGCTACAGCTTTCGAAGATGCCACTATTCAATTTTCTAATAAAATAGGAGCTGCTAAATTAACAGTAATACCTCACATTTATTATGATATGATAAACCAAATAACATATTACTAACAATAATAAGTTAATCGTAATTTTTTATTTATTTTTACATTATTACTTATTTTATTATATTTTTTAATTACAAAAAGTAAATTTTTTTATCTATGTAAATCTAGTTATTAATTACTTGTTTATGTTTTGAGATAGTTTTGAAAAAGCTACTTTTAAATTTTTATAATTTTAGAATTGAAAATATAATTAGCTTTTCGTAAAAAAATATATACATTTGAATTAATTGTTACTGAAAAAATTAAATAGAATAAAAAGTATTTTTTTTTTAGTTTAATGATATATACATAACAGTGTATGTGTGTTGGCAATTCTTTTTGGATATTAATATAATTTTTTTATTTAAAAGTGTATTATATTTTAGCCAGAATATATTGTTGAAGAAGTTACTCAAAGAACAGCAGTTGTATTTAATGGTTTGAGAAATATTATTGTTATGACTTGTAAGTAGTAACCTATTATAAAAAATAGTATGTTTATTTTACAATTTTTTTTTTTTTTTTTGTAATTAGAATTAGATAAATTTAATTATACAAATAAATTTAGTTTTAAATTATATAAATTATTTATTTTATTTTAGTACGTCAAGATAGATCACCCAATGAACAGTTAGTTTACGATTCAGTTAATAATTTATCAATAGAGCCATATTTCAGTGAAGGTCCAACATTAAATGGTCCTTTTAAAGTACCTACTAACGTTTTAAAACAAAAATATTTATCCGAATACAGTAACACATACATTATTATTAATAATAATGTTATGAAAAAAAAATTATGCTACTTTAATTATAATTATCTGAGTACCATCAATTCAACCAATAAAGGAGATAACCAAAAACCAACTGTCAGTAAAAATTCTAAACCTAAGCAACAGGTAATCATTAAATATAAATAAGCTTTGTTATAATTATACATTTTTAATGTCTTTTTTTAAAGAATAATTATCATTAGGTATCAATAAATTTTATTATTAAGAAAAATTTACTATTTCTTAGTAAAAAAATTAATAAGTGATAATCTAGTTAATTACTTTTCATAATATTAAATTCAATGTAGAAAATTTTTTTAAATAAATTTCCTTAATTCTTATTAATATAAAAATATATTTGTATAACATTTATTTATGTAAATATAGATGATCAATATATTAATCTATACTCTAATTTATAAATAGTCAAATTATTTCTTTGGAAAAATATATCTAGTTAAAAAATGTAACCCAACCATTACCATTGTTTCCGTTTTGATGTAAAGTTGAGAATGCATTGGTTTTACTATGAGTTTTTTTTTTTTATTATTATTATTTTTTTCGTGTGTTACCACTTTTTCTCAGCTCTGACTGCACCGATTTCTTTCAACGATACGTCAAAAGATCACAAATTGTATCTAGTTAAATACATTACCCTCAAAAACTGAAAAAATTTTCCTCGTTCCCCATAAATGGGGGAAATTTCCAAAAAAAATTAAAAATTTAAAAATTACTAATTTTTGACATTTTTTCAATTTTTTTTACTTAAAATTACCCATAACTTTTTTAAAAATAACCAAATCAATATAATTTTTTGTTTATAGATGCATGATGTCTTTAGTTTTCATTTGGTATATTTTTTTATAAATCTGATCCTTTACCTGCCCACAGGGTGGCTTTAAAATAACAACTTTTTCAACATAACTTTTGTAAATGTTACAGAAATATTGACACTTTTATATATATCTTAAATTAAAGTTTGTGTAGTATACTTTATTCTAGAAAAAAAAATTTGGAATTTTATTTTATCTTCATAGTAAAAATGGTTACCATAAGCTATTTTTGTGTTAAAATTTTCAATTTTATATCTTACATCTTTAGCTTTATAATGCTATAACTTATTGAAAAGTGTATAGATCAATATAATTTTTTTATGAGAAATAATATTTATATCCCTCTTTCATTCAATATACTTTATCTTAATCAGGTTATAAATACAGAAATAGCAGATCATGTAGATTTTGTAATAATTCACCAATTTTTTAAAATTAAATACTATCTAAAGATTTGCATCAAAGCGTTTTTTATGATAGTGATTTTAATCACTGTCAGGTATCATTATACTTGACCCAACTATGCCACGTCTCTACTGTGCCGTGACCTCCCTGTGCTGGTTTTTTATATTTAACTTAAATGTAAACCATCAATTTTAGTAATATCAATTGCTACTAATCCATGTAACACTGATTTATTGTTATAAACTAGTTAAGTGGATCAGCTAAACAAAGAACTGTCCCATCTAGTCAAATAAGCCGTATGTTGTCTTTTGGGGGATTAGCTGCTGGTATTGGTATTGGAGCTGTCACAGAAATTACTAAACGAACTTTAGGTGTAAGTAATTCTACTAAAAAAAATCAAGGTGGTTACATTGAAAATGTATTTATTTCACCTGAAAATGCTGAACGTATTGCTAATACATTATGTGAAGTACGTGGTTAGTACATGTAATCATTAACAATATAATTAATGCTTTATATTATTTATATCAAATAAAATTTATTTCAGGTGCTGCTTTAAAAATTGGTCAAATTCTCAGTATTCAGGACAATAACTTATTAAGTCCTCAGTTACAAAAAGCATTTGAAAGAGTACGACAATCAGCTGACTTCATGCCTACTTGGCAGTTAGAAGTATTACATAAAAATCTTTTTTAGAATATGTTTTGATTATATTTTAAAATTTTTTAAAATAGAAAATGTTGATTAAAGAATTTGGTTCCAATTGGAAAAAAAAATTTGAATTATTTAATCTAAAGCCATTTGCAGCTGCTTCTATTGGTCAAGTTCATGAAGCAACTATTAAAGATGGTACTAGAGTTGCAGTTAAAGTACAGTATCCAGGTGTTGCGGACAGTATAAAAAGTGATATCGATAATTTAGTTTATGTCATGAAAGTTTGGAATATGTTTCCTGAAGGAATGTTTATTGATAATATTGTGAAAGTAGCTAAAAAAGAATTGGCTAATGAAGTTGATTATATAAGGGAAGCAGAGTGTACTAAAAAGTTCAGACAGTTATTAGAACCATATCCAGATTATTATGTACCCAAGGTTATAGGTATATTATATTAAAATAAATGATAAAACATTACATTATATGGGGCATTGTATCATGTTCTGACAAATCTTATAAATTTTGATCTACTGAGTAAAATTTCAAAATATTTTAAACACTTAATTATAAAACATCAAAAAGACATTTTTCTACCAATTTTTTTCTATAATCTACTCTATAACATTGTTATTTTTAATGTTTCTAGTATTTTAGCTTTGATGCAAAGCTGAGAAGGTATAAATTTTTTTATTATTTTTTTTTTTGTGTGTTACCACTTTTTCTCAGCTCTGACTGCACCGATTTCTTTCAACGATATGTCAAAAGATCACAAATTGTATCTAGTTGAATACATTACCCTCAAAAACTGAAAAAATTTTCCTCGTTCCCTATAAATGGGGGAAATTTCCAAAAAAATTAAAAATTTAAAAATTACTAATTTTTGACATTTTTTCAATTTTTTTTACTTAAAATTACCCATAACTTTTTTAAAAATAACCAAATCAATATAATTTTTTGTTTATAGATGCATGATGTCTTTAGTTTTCATTTGGTATATTTTTTTATAAATCTGATCCTTTACCTGCCCACAGGGTGGCTTTAAAATAACAACTTTTTCAACATAACTTTTGTAAATGTTACAGAAATATTGACACTTTTATATATATCTTAAATTAAAGTTTGTGTAGTATACTTTATTCTAGAAAAATAAATTTGGAATTTTATTTTATCTTCATAGTGAAAATGGTTACCATATGCTATTTTTGTGTTAAAATTTTCAATTTTTAGCAAATCTTTAGCTTTATAATGCTATAACTTATTGAAAAGTGTATGGATCAACACAATTTTTTTATGAGAAATAATATTTATATCTCTCTTTCATTTGACATACTTTTTTTTTAATTAAAATTTTAATTAATATAATCCTTTTATACAGGTGTGGTTCAAAACTTATTCAACTTATTTTTAATTAAAATATATTTATTGATTTTACATATGTAACCTAATAATAAAGCATTAATATTTGTTAAATATTTCAAATTATCAAAGTTATATACGAAACCGGTGAATTGCCTGAAGATTACGTAAAGAGCCTAATTATCCCCATCCCAAGGAAAACAGCAGCAAAGAAATGTGAAGAATACCGTACCATTAGTTTTCTATCCCATGCCTCCAAAATACTAACAAAGATTATATTCAAACGTATTGAAGGTAAAATAGAATAATCATTGACAGAAGACCAATTCGGGTTTAGAAAGAATATGGAAACGAGAGAAGCAATATTGGCGTTAAGGATTATCATTCAAAAAAGGATTAGGAAAGGCAAACAAACATTTATAGCTTTTGTGGATATCGAAAAACATTTGATAACGTAAATTGGAAGATAATGTTTAACATGATGAAAAAATTTGGGTTAAAATACACAGATAGGAAACTTCTGTATAACCTATACAAGAATGAATCTGCAGTTATAAGGATCCAAGATTAGGAAGAAAAAGTAAAAATAAACAGAGGAGTTAGACAAGGTTGTACATTATCCCCAATTATATTCAACGCATATATTCAAGAAGCAATAGATATGATAAAGGAAAATGCCAATCTAGGAATAAAGATAAACGGACAAAAAATAAGTATGTTACATTATGCCGATGACATAGCTTTAATTGCTGAATGCGAGAAAGATCTGGCTCAACTAATTAAAGCTATGGATAAAACATTCGAAAAAGAGTTGGAAATGAGAATAAATGTGAAGAGAACAAAAGTAATGGTATGTGAAAGGGAAAATAATACAAGAATACAGATAAAAATATGAAACCAAGTAATAGAACAAGTAGATGAATTTACATACCTGGGAAGCACTATCAGCAAGGATGGAAGAAACAGAAGTGAAATTATAAAATGTATCTGTCAAGCTAAAATAGCCTTTAACAAAAAGAAAACTATATTTACATCAAGAAACATGAGTCTAAAAATAAGAAAAAACCTATTAAAGTATGGAGCATTGCTCTGTACGGGTGTGAAACCTGGACAATAGCAATAGAAGAAAACAAAGACTTGAGGCGTTTGAAATGTGGTGCTATAGAAGGATGTTAAGGATAAGTTGGATGGACAGAGTAACCAATGTAGAAGTACTGGAAAGAATATTAGATGGACAGCTACTATGGAATAACATAGTCAGAAGACGCAATGAATGGGTAGGTCATATAATGAGACATGAAGGATTGTTGAAATTGATAATAGAAGGAAAGAACCGTAGGGGTAGACCAAGATTGGAATTCATTCAACAGATAATAAAGGACTAAGGATGTGACTCATATGTGGTAATGAAAAGGAAGGTGGATAAGAGGGAAGACTGGAAGATGGCTGCATACCAATCTACGGATTGAAACCATAGAGAGAGAAATATTTGTTACATTAATTAGAATGATTTTGTTATTATTTAGGCCATATGGGATATTCTAATTGCAGATTTGAAATTGGTCCAAAAATGTATTTAGAAATGTATATTTTGGTTTTGGATAAAAATTCCTTGTAGACCAGTAAATTTATTTATATATAGCAAAAAAAATTTTTTTAAGTATTTTATCAAGACCTATTACTTTTATATACATTTGCCATAAAATAATAACTACTTTATAATCTCCTTAAAAATTAGAATACTGAATTATTAAATATCAATTTCATACTATATTTAATTGCTATAATAAAGATTTATTCATATATTACATTTATAAATCATAAAACTTGTAATCAGGATATAAATAAGGAAATAGGAGATCATGTAGTTATGGAATACTCCATCATTTTTTTAAAATTAAATACTATCTACAAATTTGCAGCATTGCGTTTGTTATGATAGTGATTTTAATCACTGTCAGATATCGTATATACCGGACCCAACTATGCCATGTCCCCACTGTGCTAGATTTTTTTTTTACTATTAATGATTTATTGATTTATATAAATAACTTACAAAACAAAAATTTATAAAATTAATATAAAAAATATTTGATCCAACTTTCGAATCAAAAGTTATTACCATTTTTGAAAATATAGACTGTTGGTGAGATACGGATTATGACTACTTTTTTTTAATAAAATAAAATATATTTATTTATCATAAAATTACAATTCTAAACTCTAACAAGTTAAAAAAAAAATATTCAATAGTTCAAAACTTATAGAATTTGCCAGAACATATCTATCTTTTTTGTGTTTCCTGTCATCATATTAGTATAAAATTAACAATAATAATGTTTTCTACAGAATGCAATTTAATTTTTTTTTTAATAGAGTCAATGATATAGAAATAATTAATTTAAATTGTGTTTAAATTTTGATACTTAAATTAGAACTCTTTCTATTGTTAATGATTTATCTATGATTCTTATAATATATTTTTAAGGATTATGATATTATCTAAATATTAAGATATTGTATTCTTTACAAAACGTATCAGCACCCAAAGTCTGGAAACTTGCCTCCTAAATAAAATTTTTCATACATATAAGACTATTAAACTATTAATCTATTTTGATTTCTATATAACTTTTCTACAGTTTTTAACTAAAAAAATCATACCTATTTAAATGTTGTTTATTTTATTAGTAATTCTAAAGTGTGTAATTTTTTAATTATTATAAGTTTTACTTGATATAAATTACTCATTTGTTATAATTGTTTGTATTATTTAGACCAATTTTGTACAAAACGCATATTTACTTCAGAACTTATTGACGGTGTACCCTTAGATAAATGTGAGATTATGGATCAAACTACACGTAATAATTTATGCTTCTTAGTTTTACAACTGTGTCTTAAAGAACTTTTTGAATTTTCATTCATGCAAACTGATCCTAACTGGGCCAATTTTTTTTATAATGAAGAAACTAAGCAAGTAAGTTAAATAACTCTGTTTTATTTTTGTTTGCTGTTTTATGATAAAAATTTGTATATATACAGAGTGATTCTTTTGACATTAGCTACAGAATTTCTTTTTAAAATAATAAAAGCATTAGTAATTTTTTTCTGATTTTTAATAGTTTCACATATTTTTTTATTTCTTAATCAAGTATTTTTTAGTTACATCTATCATTCCTTATAAGGTTGCAAACTTGAATTTTCTAAATACCAACTTACATATATAAATAACTTCTATAGTAAAAATAGATATAGTAAATGACTAATAGTGGTATATAATAACTTTTGACCCATTATTTCAGATATTATATCCATTTTAAAATATAGACTGTTAGAAACATGGAAACTAAAGAAAAAATATACCAGCGGACTAAAAATAAAACCCAGGTTACACGCTAGGAAAAATTGAGTAGCTATTGTTAAAAGAAATACTCTGTATATAATTATAGATACTTCATTAAAAAAAACTACATACTTAAATTAGCTAGACATTTTAAAATTGTTACTGATGCAATTTTGAAAAAAGTTTAGTAAATTCAAATTTAATTTTGTTCAATTATTTTATCAAAAAATTCAATTTTTTCACAAAATTTAGCTAAAATAGTACGTACCCACAGTATCTTAAAATCATGTTGTATAACTTTTTTAATGTTAGTTTTATCAGTTTTAACATATAAACTGGCATTCATTAGTTAGTATCTGATGATACATCAAATCTACTAAATTTTATTTAATAATAATATAGAATAAAAAGGGTATGGTGTGTTACAGTGAATCATTTATTCACTGTCATAATGCTGATTTGCAGCTGCCCTATTTCCAGTTAGTTTTCTAAGCTATGACCATACTGGAACAGTAATTCACCTTGACAGTTCACTGGTTCCCTCAGCCAAAATAAAGTCGCGTCAAGTCAACAGCCAGTGTGGAAATCTTGTTAAATCAATAAAGTAAATCTAACTTCAAATAGTTAGGAAATTATAATGACTAATATAAAATAAAAGTATATATAATTTAAATACTAAGTAACTTACCAAAATATTTTTTAAAAACTATTTAAAATGGTTTGGGGAATTATTATCCCACGCAACACAGAAAAAAGATAAAAGAAATAAACGACAACTGCTTTTAACTTGAGTATTTATAATCTGATTGAGTCAATTTTTACTAGAAAATTGTTAATATTTTCTTGATAGCTTATAATATTTGTATAAAGTTATTGTTATTAAAAATAGTATGGTCAGCCTCTATTTTTTATTTCTTTATAAAAAGAATTACAAAATTTGTATTAAATATTTATTTAAGTTTTATTGTATTTAATATTTATACAAATAGTATTTTTAAATGATGGGTTTTTAAAATATTTAAAAAAATTTTAGCTAATTTTGTTAGATTTTGGAGCAACACGATCATTTGACCATACATTTTTAAGTAATTATTTGAAGATCATAAAAGCAGCTGCTGACAATGATAGAAATATGGTATTAAAATTGTCACAAAACATGGGTTTTCTCACTGGATATGAATCAAAAGCTATGGAAGATGCTCATGTAGAAATGATAATGATAATGGGTGAAGTATTTAGGAAAGAAGGGGAGTATGATTTTGGCTCTCAAGATTCTACCAAACGATTGCAAGCATTGCTCCCTGTCATACTTAATCAACGGTTAGCTCCTCCACCAGAAGAAGTGTATAGTATTCATAGAAAATTATCAGGTATTACTTAATTATTATAATGTATTATTATATATTTATAATTTAACTATTTAAGGTTTATTGTAAGTATCATATTTTTCAGGAATATTTTTACTTTGTTCTAAATTGAAAGCAAAGTTTAAATGTCGTAAACTATTTTTGGATTCTTATGAAGAATTCAAAAAAAAATATTAGAACTAAAATAAGTTTCATTTATGTGTATTATATGATTAATTGGAAGTAATAACTTAAATAATAATAAGATAATTTGTTTTTATTAAGTAGTAAAATCATTCATAGATTATAAAAATGTTTTTATTGCTTGAATTCAAATAGTTTCTAAAATTGATTTTGTTAAAATAGATTAATTTGTTATAAATTAACATTTTACATAAATACATTCATTAATTCAATCATGTATAATATGCTTAACATATATTTTTTATTACAAATCATTTCTACCAAGTCTATTCCATCAACATAATTAATTTCTTAATTAAACAACAAAATAAATATTTTTATATACTTTTAATAAAAAAGTAAGTCAACAAAGTTAAATAGTAAACAAATATTGCAACATAAATTGATCATCATATGAAAAATTATTTTTCTATTACTTTATTGATTAATAAGTTAATTTTATTTTAATTCTATTATCGTAAGTTATATCAAATTAAGCATTTATTTAAAATACGTTTATCATCTCAAGTACCTGAAATTGTATATTAATATTATAAATTCATAATTTAAATTTTAAGATTCAGTTGTATATAATATTTATAATATAATTTTGAAAAAATTATTATTTATAATGGGGGTTGTATTTTGATACATTTATACTTTTCTCAGTCATTTAAAAGATATTTGATTATTTTTAACATTATTAATGGGTTTAACAGGAAAGTTTAAAAACGATCTAAAAATACATCAATTTTGAAAACCTACATATATTAGAAATTGATAAAATTAAATATATGTAAATTAAAAAAAAATGTGTTCATAAAACAAATAAAGTAACAAACTCAACAAAAAATAACAAATTTGATGAAATCGTCATCTAGCCACAAATAGTGTGTTAATATTACTACATGGTTGACTATTTTTTAATACTATCACAGTGATTTTTGAAGCAATATAGTAAAATATTTTAAAATTAATATAGAGTTGAATTAAAACCTGCCACCTTTTAATAATAATTAATATAATAAACAAATAAATTTTAGTATAGACTATTTATATTTATATAAAACTAACCCGTTTTTTTTCATAACATAGTAATAATTTTTCTGTAAAACAATAAACTATAAATGTAATGTTAAATAAATAATAACTAGTTAACATAATGCTAATGGAAAATCACTAAATAAATTTTATCTGAATTTGTCCTTGTGGAGCTGTACGGCTGTTACTTCATTGTTATTATTAGTTTGTTTTTTTATGAAAGAACTTCGATGTATATCTGAACACTCTCTTTTAACATCCATACAATCTGAACTTAAAGAACGTTTGCGTAAGCGACGAGTTGTAATTCCAGCTAAATTTAACAAAGCATCAGCTCCTTCTACTATTTTTCGTCTTTCTTCCGCATCTTCTTTGTATATACTACAAAAAAAAAAAAAGTAATTAAATATAACATTTTTAATTACATATGACAACGAGATAGTTAAAAAAAAATTTATAGGCAAGATGTAGGCCGTAATAATTTCTCAATTAGATAACAATATTGGATATATTATATAAAAAATATTTGTTCTACACATATTTTTGAAACTCATCATTTTTATCTTGATACCGCTGATTTGTTTGATTTATCAAACAAATCAGTGATGAAAAAAAACAGATCAAGAAGAATAAAACCCAGCACAGGAGGGTCGTGGCATAGTTGGATCAAATATAATGATATACAATAGTGATTAAAATCACTATAAAAAAAAAACGTTTCGCTACAAATCTTTAGATAGTATTTAATTTAAAAAAATTGGTGGATTATTCCAAAAGCTACATGATCTGCTAGTTCCTCATTAATATCCTGATTAAGATAAAGTATGTCGAATGAAAGACAAAATAAAGTCCGAAATTTTTTTTTTCCATAAAAAAGTACATTACATTAGCTTCAATTTAAGATATATATAAAAGTGTCAGACCTTCCGGAACACTTTCAAAAGTTAAAAATAAAAGTAATTTTTTTGTAAAAAAGTTGTCATTTTAAATTCCCTCTGTTGCCAGGTAAAAGGTCAGATTTATAAAAAAAATATACCAAATGATAGGTAAAGACATCAAGCATCTATAAAAAAAAAATTATATTGATTTGTTCATTTTTAATAAATATAGTTTAAAAAAACTAAAAAACACACTTTTAAAGAACATCGAACTAAAAAGTTAAAAATAATTTTTAAAATAAGCGTAAAACAATAATTAACGAAAAGTACTAGTATTATTGTGATAAAAGCGTGGGTGCTTTGTGCTATATTTTTCGTATATTGAGCGCCCGACGCTTTTATCACAATAATACTAGTACTTTTCGTTCATTATTGTTTTACGCTTATTTTAAAAATTATTTTTAACTTTTTAGTTCGATGTTCTTTAAAAGCGTGTTTTTTAGTTTTTTTAAACTATATTTATTTTTCACTTTTTAGTTACGTGTTATGATAGTAGTTACTATCAATATCATGGTTGTAACGGGTAAAGGGGAATCAGGGTTCGATTCCGGAGAGGGAGTCTGAGAAACGGCTACCACATCCAAGGAAAGCAGCAGGCGCGCAACGTGGAGGTAGTGACATAAAATGACGATACGGGAATCTAATGACGATTCGGACTTTATTTTGTCTTCACGGTGAAAATGGCTACCAAATGTTATTATTGTGTGAAAATTCTCAATTTTATTTTTTACATTTTTAACTTTATAATGCTATGACATATTGAAAAGTGTATGGATCAACATTATTTTTTTATGAGAAATAATATTTTTTAATAATCCCTTTTTCATTCGACATACGTTATATTAATCAGGTTATTAATAAGGAACTAGCAGATCATGTAGCTTTTGGAGTAATCAACCAATTTTTTAAAATTAAACACTATCTAAAGATTTGCATCGAAGCGTCTTTTATGATAGTGATTTTAATCACTGTCAGATATCATTATACTTGATCCAACTATGCCACGTCACCACTGTGCCGCGACCCCCCTGTGCTGGGTTTTTGTTATACTGATTTTAAAGTAATATTTTTCTGGAAAAATATTTATCGTGCCGGGCGAAGACCAGTACTCCTACCGAAATCAATGGACAGCAAGAAAGGCCCAACGTGATTTAGGCGGGTTGGGTTTGATAAGGTACATAGTGTGGTATTTAGCTTAGTACAAATAGATAACGAATTTTGCCTTCATGAGTTACCATTTACCAGAAAATATTTCAAATTATTTTATAAAAATTGAAATAACACTACTGTCTATAAACATATTTTTTAAGCTATTTTATTATTACCTGTTATTTTTAAAGCAATTATCATAAGTGTGATCTTCACTTGGACTTATTGTAACTATTGGATAAAGCTTAAACAAACAAAGTGAAATATTAAAAGAAATGTACTTTATATCAAAAAATGAAGTTAAATATTTATGTCACGTTTAATGTGTTACTAATATGCTATACAGTTTTCAAAAATTTATCAGGACCCCAAGACTAACTAGGAGAACTTGAACACTTCTATGTTAAAAATTAAAAACCCTCAAAAAATGATAATATATATTTCTTCTTTCTTTTTCCTTGTCTTATCCCAAGTACTTTGGTATAAGGCTCTTAAACAATATGTATGTAGTACAAAAATATTTATTTTATTTTGTTATTATAAAAATTATAATAATAGAATAATTAGTCCCTGTGGATAGGAGATAAGAATACTTCTACGGACCCTCTGCCAGTCGTAAGAAGGGACTAATGAGGTTGCATCAGGTCGACAGTTGACGTAAAATTATGTCATTAAATATGAGGAGTTCTGAACAAAACTTAGACAGATTGTCCCATCTCGGATGTACGCAGGGATAACAGGTGAGTGGAAATAAAGTAGTTAGAAACGGAGGCCTAAAGCTCAGGTGTATAGGTCTACCCAATAATTGTAGTATTAACGGTTTAGGGATATCATCACTCAACTCTAGACAGGACTCGTGTATAAGTGAGAAAGATAGATACAAAGTAATAATAGGTACGTAGAATGTTGTAAAATTAACTGATAGATGTAGAGAATTAATAAAGGTATTAAAGAGGAAAAACCTTTGTTGTGGACAGGAAACTAAATAGAAGGGAGAGAAGGCAAGAGATATAGGTAAGGGTTGTAAAATAATAAACTCAAGTGAGTCAAATACAAAAAATGGTGTAAGGATAATAATGGATGAGGAGATGAAAAGTAAAGTAGTAGAAGTAGCTAGGAAAAGTGACAGCACTAGTCATAAAATTGATATTCGAGGAAAAAGTTCTGATTATAATAAGTGCCTACCACAAGTAGGATGTGATGAAATAGAAAAGGAAGTGTTTTGGAGAGAGATGGATGAGGTGATGCAAGGGGGTACCTGGTAATGAGGTTGCGGTGATAGATGGAGATATGAATGGACATGTAGGCAATGAGAGGAGAGGATATGAAAGAGTACATGGAGATTATGGTTTTAGTGGGAAGAATGAGGATGGAGAAAGAATCCTGGATTTCAAAGTATCATATGATCTTGCTGTGATTAAAACTTATTTTAGAAAGAGGGAAGAACATTATATAACTTATAAGAGTGGGAGGAATAGATCACAGATTGATTATTTTATGTGGAAGAGAGAGAGCGTAAAGCGAGTAAAAGATTGTAAAGTTATACAATGCGAAGAGTGTAACTTTACAACATTGACTGATGGTAATGGAGTTATGATGTAGTAGGAAGAGAATAGGAGAAAAATTAAGGATCAGGTGATTGAAATTGAACGGGGAAAATGAAAAAGAGCTTTTAAAGACGGTAAAAGAGAGGACGGTGTTAAATATCCAGGGAGACATAAATGATAGATTTGTTAGTTGTGTAAAGAATATTGCAAGGGAAATTGTTGGTTACAGTAGGAATAGAATACCAACAAACAAACCCAACCCAACCAACAAAAAAATTTGGTGGAGGGATGAGGACGTTCAAAAAATCACAAAATGTAAGAAAAATCAGTTCAAAGTATGGCAGAAGAGCAAAAGGAGAGAAGATTGGATGGATTTTAAATGCTTGTGCAAAGAAGCCAAATGTGCAGTCTGGTGTGTTAAGCGATAAGAGAATTTCAATGAGGCTGAAAGGTATGTTCTATAGGACTGTATCATTTAAACTTAACTATCATATATAAAGTTTCAAGAATTTCGATATTAAAAAAAAATTTGTCAAAAAGAGTCTATCTAGTCAATAGTTTTCTCCCGCAAATCACCTGACATTGTAATGTAACTGGTATGTCACCCTTCATTAGCAAAGCTTAACTGCTATAAAACTTTCAGATGATGTTTTTTCTTCTGTGTCACTTAAAATAAGTTATGAGCAAAAAAATGTTGTCAACATTTTTCATGGTATTTTATTTATTTAAAATTATTTTGTGCTTCTCAATTAAAGTATATTTTAAAGAATATTCACTAAGTAGCATAATATTTATGTAATTTTATAAAATCTTCGAGGTTTATTTGAATATTTGTCTACCCAGAAACTAATAAGGATCAAAACTAATATGAAGAGAATAAGAAAAGTTTATTCTATGAAAATTCCTCTCTCCAAAAAAAACCCTAAATACTTCACTTTGTACTATTACTGAGAATGTAACTAAATCAGTATAGCAACTGATGGGAGGGTATGCAAATTTTAACTTTCGATTTACCTCTTAGATGTTTTATAAAATTTAATGATTTTTTTTTGCTAAAATTTTTATTATTTATAGAATGTCTAAAAAATTACGAAAAACATTATTCGAGAGATGAAATTGAAAGGAGATCTCTCTTATGATACTAATGTTAAAATAAGTACTACAATTGGGACTTCTTGGAGGCGTCAATCAATTTTATTTGAGCAGTTAACGAGGTAGCAATAATTTTTTACTAGGTGGTACTAATATCATTTACTTTATAAATATACTTAATTATCATTATTATTCATTAATAAATAGGTGACCCAATAATAAATTTTTAAATTTTTCCCGCTAAATAAAATCGGCAGAAAATAATTAAATTATTGACTTGATGAAATACATATTAGTGTCAATGTCAAATATAAAACAAATTAAAATAGAAAAAATAACGAATCAAAAAGACGATAACTTACTTCTGCTATTTCTGGATCTGTGTCTGGTTTTGAATGTGTGATTTTCCAATCTGGAAACAATATTTGTAGTATATTATTACGAAAATATTATTTGATTCAAGAAATTCTACAATAATATGTAGTTTGAAGGTTAAATATAAAAGGACCCTGAGGAGGTCCACCCTGGCCCGAGGCAAGCCGGAGCACCAGGGATTTTGGTACTTTACTCTAGGGGGAAAGGTTATTAATAAACTATGATTTAGTACAGTTATTAAAATGTATTAAATATTACAAACAATTTTTTTTCTTTTTCTCATAATATAACAAAAATATTTAAAAGAGAATTATACATAAAAACAAATTAATTAATTAAAAACATAGGTTCTAAATAAAAGGGAAAATATACGGAACAAAAACACTACAGTAAAATATTGAATAAATTAATAAGAATTAAGTCATGGCCAAGAATATAAGAGGAATTTACAGTATGTTTATAATTAAAAGTTAGGAAAATGCATTGTGATTTATCACAATATTACATACAAGTTGTCTACAGACAGTCAGCCATTCAAATAGCCTGTGTTCTTTACAAAATGTAATGATACATGACTAATAAAGTCTTAACTTAATAATCCATTTTTTTTTATCATTTTAGTGTTCCTGATAAGAACAAGTTACCAGATATAAAAGTATATTAACTGAAGCAAAATTACTTGCTGTAGTATATTAAATTTCAAATGTCATAATCACAATATAATATAATATAATATAATAGAGCAAAATAGGAGAACCATGAGCATGACGGATCCAACGCATGCGTCAGGGTATAGTGGACATGTCACCAACATCAATGAGTATCCTCTACATAAATGTAGGGGACTCATTGAGATGTTCACCATGTCCACCCTGACGACATCCGAGTAACTGACTGCTCATGGTAGAAGGGAAAAGAAAAAAGTAGACGGATTGACCATTACTTACAATATAAAATGATAGTTAACCCATATAGTCATTAATTAATAAAATAACAAAATACAAACGTCATAGCCATTTAACCAACAAAGGAGAAAACAATTAATTAAATTATGCACACTGTACGGGAATACATAAAGTTAAATTATACAATATTAGATTTTGTTCAGGATGTCCAATTCCAGGTGATAAGTGTGATGAGTTGGCATAATCATGGCCAAGCCAAATTGAAATTTTACTCTTCCATTGTGAATTTGTAAAGACACGCCAAAATTTGATAAGACAACAATGAAAAATAGAGAGATGATGATTGGGAGATTTTTTTGAACATAACCGTACTTTCCAAAGTCGGCTCGATTGCACATGGGAAAGGGTAGGTGCTAGTGTGACCATTCTAATGTGAATGTGTTAAAACTTTCATGGATTGTCTTGTTGCTTGAAGTGCTTGATGATATATCCATGTTTACAGTTGTGTTCTGACGTTTCGGACTCATTGCAGAGTCCATCTTCAGAGTGATGGTTGCTAGTCGGTGGCTGCAACTATACTGGCGGCTTATCTTGATAACAATCTGCTTTTATAAAATTGATAACATCTGGTTTTTGACTAACGTTGTTGACCACATCTGGTTTTTGACTAATGTGTTTTAAAAAAACCCAGATACGATGAACAACGTTAGTCAAAAACCAGATGTTATCAATTTTATAAAAGCAGATTGTTATCAAGATAAGCCGCCAGTATAGTTGCAGCCACCGACTAGCAACCATCACTCTGAAGATGGACTCTGCAATGAGTCCGAAACGTCAGAACTCAACTGTAAACATGGATATATCCTCAAGCACTTCAAGCAACAATCTAATGTGGTATAATATGGTATGGACATAATAAAGGATACTTTACACTAACTAACTTGGGATATATATGACAAAGCCTAATTTTACAGCATACTGTAAAAGCATAATTGTACCTATACCAAAGAAAAGTGGAGCAAATTCTGGTAAACAGTTTAGAACACTAAGTCTACAGACACATGTATCAAAAATCCTAACAAAAATAATAAATCGAAGAATAGAAGGAAAAGTGGAGCAGTACTTAAAAATGACCAATATGGATTTAGAAAACAAAAAGTTACACGAAAAGCAATTTTAGAACTGCGAGTGATAAATGAATAACAGATCGATAGAAATAAAGTTACATACTTGGCCTTTATAGACCTCTACAAAGACTTCGACAAAGTAAATTAGAACAAAATGCTGCTCACACTACGAAAAATAGAAGTTGAACAACAAGATCTAAGAATCATCCTCGGTCTTCACAAGAATCAGACAGCTTGCATTAAAAAAAGAGAAATCACAACTAACGCTCAAATAAAAAAGGAGTCCGACCAGGGTGTACGTTATCACCATTATTTTTTAAATGCTACATCGAAAAAACTATAAATATAGTGAAAGCAAAGCTAAAAAGACTAAATATTGGAATCAAAATTGTTGGAGAAATTGTTTCAATGATACGATTTGCCGATAACATTGTGGTAATATCAGAGAGTAAATGTGACATACAGCGTGTAGTTGAAGAAATGTATGAAATGGTCAGAACATCAGAAATGAAAATAAATAATGCAAAAACAAAGATCTTAGTCTATGTCAGAGACCGGAAAGTAAAAGCTTATGTATACTTAGATAGTTAAAAATTGGAGCAAGTAGAGGAAATGGTTATACCTAGGGAGCAAAATCACATCTGATGGTAAGAGTGTCCGCGAGCTAAACAACGCATAGCATTAGCAAAAACTGCCTTTAGTAAAAAACGTAAATTGTTCATTTCAAAAAAGTTACATATCATTATCAAAAAGACTTATAGAACCATATGTATGAAGTATTGCAATATATCGATGTGAATCTTGGGCAATAATACCGAAAATAAAAAACAAGATACCTTTGAGATGTGGTGTGTGTTGGAGGCGTGTGGAAAGGATAAGTTGGATAGAGTAGAAAACAAATGAAGAAGTACTTAGAACTGTTGGAGAAAAACGCACACTCATAGATGCGATTAGAGCAAGACGCTGTAAAATGGTTGGCCATACTCTGAGAATCCAGAAGAGTTGCATAATATAATATTAGAGGGTATGATAGATGGAAATAAAACTATAGGGCGTCCCCGAAACTCTTATACAAGACAAATTAAATGTGATGCAAGAGTCAAAACCTTTAAGGAACTTAAAGAAAAAGCGAGTAACCGGTTAAAATGGAGAATTGGAGTAGTAAACCAACCTTAGGGTAGATAAAAATAATAATAATAATAATTTTAGAAATATGATATTACATAATAGTAAAAAACAACATTTTAAAGTTAAAAATGAAAAGGTTTTATCAATTGCACATAGACGATTTTATATGAAATTAATTTTAACAGTTTATTTAATGGAAAAAGAATGATATCAATCATTTTGTACACGGGGTTAGATAAAATTTTCGACTAATCGATAACCAGTATTGTAATATTAGTTTTTAAAAAATTAATATTTTAAATTTTGAAAATGTGAAGAGCTGAGTATATTTATCAATATAAAACGACATAATTTAGAACATTTGTATAAAAATAATGATTATAATTAGATAAATTAATTATTTTTAATGAAAAAAATAGTGGTAACATTCTTAATAAATCACCTTATACATTTTTTGGCAATTAATTGTAGTTAATGTTAAGAACACTATTATAGACGATCATAGAGATAATATTTAGGAGAGAGAATTTTGTCGATATAATAACCTTAATGAGAAAAAAAGTCTACAATATATTCTACGCAATATAAGTACTGTTGTCTAGTAACTTAAATAAACATTTGAGGGCATAATATCCTTTTGAAATTACCCCTAAACCTAATGTACTAAACAACTATTTGCTATCAATACTTAAAAAAGATAACATGTCTAGATGAAGTTACCTTAACGACTCTGACACAAAATGCAGATGCGTCCAAGAACAGACAATATCACACCTATTAGTATGTCCAAGAATTCCTAACGCACGGAAGATGAAATATACAAACAAATGAAAAAACGGTGGAAGTCACTCGGTTTTTTGGACAGTGGAAGAAATATAACAAATGTTTACTTTTTATATTTTATTTATGTTTATATTCATTTATTATTTATTTATTTATGCAACTGGTACCTTGTCAGTTTTTCAATTTATTTTCCTTTTAAATATTTAATATTTATGGTTAGTTATTCCGTGTCATCTCTAAGTAGTATGGATAGTTAACAAATTTAAATTTTATATTTGGAAGATATATAATTTATTGTATTTAAAATAACGTTGTTAATTTTACACCTTATAACGACGTCGTAGGTACCTGGGTACCTATATATATTGTATACAAATGTAGGTTTTATTTATATAAAAACCCAGCACAGGGGGGTCGCGGCACAGTGGTGACATGGCATAGTTGGATCAAGTATAATGATATCTGACAGTGATTAAAATCCCTATCAAAAAAAAACGCTTCGATGCAAATCTTTAGATAGTGTTTCATTTTAAAAAATTGGTAGATTATTCCAAAAGCTTCATAAACTGCTAGTTCCTTATTAATATCCTAATTAATATAAAGTATGTCGAATGAAAAAGGGATTATTAAAAAATATTATTTCTCATAAAAAAATAATGTTGATCCATACACTTTTCAATATGTCATAGCATTATAAAGTTAAAAATGTAAAAAATAAAATTGAGAATTTTCACACAATAATAGCATTTGGTAGCCATTTTCACCGTGAAGACAAAATAAAGTCCGAAATTTTTTTTTCACATAATAAAGTACATGTAGATTACATTAGCTTTAATTTAATATATATATATAAGTGTCAGACTTTCCGGAACACTTTCAAAATTTAAGTTGAAAAAGTCCATTTTTTGTGAAAAAGTTGTCATTTTGAATCCCCCCCTGTAGGCAGGTAAAAAGTCAGATTTATAAAAAAAATATACCAAATGATAGGTAAAGACATCATGCATCTACAAAAAAAAGAATTATATTGATCCATACATCTTTCAAAAAGTTATAGCATTATAAAGTTAAAAATATAAAAAAGAATTTTTTTACAAAAATCGTATTTTTTTTATTAAGTTTAAAGTCTGTTTTCACCATGAAGATAAAATAAAGTCCGAAATTTTTTTTTTTCATGATAAAGTATATTACATTAGCTTTAATTTAAGATATATATAAAAGTGTCAGACCTTCCGGAACACTTTCAAAAGTTAAGTTGAAAAAATTAATTTTTTGTAAAAAAGTTGTCATTTTAAATCCCCCCCTGTGAACAGTTAAAGGATCAGATTTATAAAAAAATATACCAAATGAAAACTAAAGACATCATGCATCTATAAACAAAAAATTATATTGATTTGGTTATTTTTAAAAAAGTTATGGGTAATTTTAAGTAAAAAGAATTGAATAAATGTCAAAAATTAGTAATTTTTAAATTTTAAATTTTTTTGGAAATTTCCCCCATTTATGGGGAACGAGGAAAATTTTTTCAATTTTTGAGGGTAATGTCTTCGACTAGATACGATTTGTGATCTTTTGACGTATCATTGAAAGAAATCGGTTCGGTGAAAGCTGAGAAAAAGTGGTAACAGACACAAAAAAAAAAAAAAAACACATCCTAGTAAAACCAATACCTTCTCAGCTTCGCATCGAAGCTAAAAATAAATTATATTATTATAATAATATTTAACTCAAAAAGCCACAAAAAACTACTCAAAAAACGCGGATACGTATTTTGGGAACAATGTTACCATTATTAACGTTAAACACGTACTGAGACCCTCCTCTAGTGATCTAGTGATGTTATCACTTAATAATTTATCACATTTTGCCAGTTTAATAATTAATTTTTCAGTATGCCACGATCTCAATTAATTATATTATTTTTATTTTTAACATTTCTATTGCCTCCTTATACTATCTTTTTTGTAATTACGTTTATAATTAACTTTATGGTTTTATTGGAGAGGTTGTATCAATGAATGTTCAACCACAGGAGATTTATTAACTTCTTGATTTTTAAAGTTACTTAAATGTTCTTTTAACCTGTCCCTTATATTTCAACGAAAAATTTATTACAACTTTCATATTGTATTTATAAATGCTCGTTTTACCCCCTTCTTCTACTTTATCTTTAGGATTACCTGATAAATCTCTTAAATTATTACTTTTAGATGCAACTAAAGTAATACCAAAATTCTTAAAAATTTTAGTTAATCCATTGGAAGTTCCCGGATAATATAAAATGAGCGACCAAATTATTAATTGTTTTTTTACGCCTAAACATATTTTGTGGCTTTTTGAGTTAAATATTTTTTATATAATTTTATTTTTAAATATTTTAACACAAGTGATCAATTTTTATTCAATTTTAAATAAAGAGTTTCTGAATTATTATTAAGTTCTAGAAATAATACACTTGCTGTTCTTTAATTTAAACGTCTAACTAAAAGACAAGTATTTAATTTCAAAAAGTGAACTAGTTATACTCATAAGTTACTTATGCATTATCATTAGAAACGCTAAAAAATTTTTAAATAAATTTTCAATATTTTATATGAACATTTTTAATGTTAAAATTTGAAACTATTTCACAATTAATTCCTAAACATGTGAAATAAATATTAATCAATTAAGTATAAATAATGCTACCTTTATCATGAACAATGCGTACATGTGGACCATGTTTTAAAACCAACATTGCAGTTGCTGCATCTACATCGCTCACAGTCGATATTTCATCATCATTGTGCTCATTTTCTACACAATATCGCAAAGATTGATTTATAGAGTTGGATGTTACTGTCTTTTTATTATAGCCTTTGGTATAAGGAGTTTTTTGTAATGCTTGAATAAGACATGGCCGGTAAGACGGTTCAACCATCCATAGTGATCCTTTACCCAAATTCTGTTGGATTAATACTAATTTATAATGGGTTCAAAGTAATTACAATAATAAAAATAACACTAACTGGTGCTTTTTCTACTTTTTTAAAACACTTATTAAGAGACAAATTATGTCTAACACTATTTTTCCAACCAGTAGGTGCATTTTTGTAGTATGGAAAATGTTCAACAATCCATTCATAAATATCTTTTACTGGTAATGCTTTTTTTGGAGAATCTTCTATTGCCATGAAAATTAAACATGAAAACGAGTATGGTGGTTTTGATTCAATATGTATCTATTAAAACAAAAAAAAAAATCACTGATAAATTAATGTTTAAATTATACATTAAATTTTATTAATAGGCCTGGTAATAATTAGAGCCAATTTTTTAGTTGTAATTTAACTATGTTTTATAATTAAATATCAGACCATAAACTGAAAAATTAGATACAATTATCAAACAATAATTTTTTTTTAATGAAAAATTAAGCAAAATTTCTTTAATTTCTTATCTGACTAAAATTAGTATTAATATTGAAACTATTAAAAAACAGTTTTAGTAATAAATTCAAAAGGACTAAGCTTTATATTTTTTCATTTTAAAGTATTCAACTTTTAACGCCCTTTAAGTGTCCACCGATACTAATCATAAAATTATATCTACAGATGTAAAACTGATAGATAAATTTATTAACTTAAAAAAATGATATAAGATCAATATTAAATAAAAGTTATTGCATATATTAATATTTCGCTTCTTTTGTATATGGTACAGTAATTATCACTCTGCTAAAAATGAATTATTTTATAATGATGGAGTTTTAAGCTCTAAAGACTCTGTGTAATTTTCAATAATTCAAAATTAAAACATAATGTAAGATTAATATTTCTCCAGTTTACATCGGTAATATCTATTAATTCAATTATAATAATAACTTATGAATTTAATAAATTATAATAAAACACAATTATAATTATATATAATTTAAGTTATAAGTTATAGATTTTTATAACTGTAGTTATTCAACTATAATTAATACACGTTTCCTGTTAAATTATTGTAAGGTAGAACAGACACCAAATATTTGGAATAAAGGAAATGACGATAGCTTCATATAAGTAAGTGCACTAAATGACTAAAATAATTAAAATCAACTAAAATATTAGAACAATTTACTTATGAAGAAATTTAAATTAATTCATAAAAATAGAGATTATGAAAGTGTTTAAGTTATCTTAAATTGTTACAAAATCTAGAATATTCACAGATATTCGGAAACATAAATATATCCTTTTATTTTATAAATATATTAGAAATTGTTTAAAAAACCGTTCTCATTTAATAGTTAATTATTTAATTTTTAACTACATTGCGTAATCTTTTGTAGGTTACATAGAAATATATATATATATACTAACTTATACTTACTTTTGGATCGTAGCTTGATGATCGTAAAGCAGATATTTTAGATAGTGTAGATACAGTAGACCAGCATCGTATTGGCGATCGTGATTTACTGTTAGAGGATTTAGAGTCACAGGAAGCGTCATCCACATAATCAGATTTGGGTAGCTCATGAACTCCTTAAAGAAAATAAAAAATAAAATGACAATTATGCCATATTAACACTTTAATTATGTGTAATAAAAGTAATATGTAAAATAAAGTTACAGTTTACAATCGAATGATCAATGAGTAGATGATGTCAAAAATGAATTTTCATGTTGTGTCATTACTATTTTCTATAAAAAGTCATTTAATATTTCTCTTAAAAATATTATTATTAAGGTTTTACATTAATTTTAATTAAAGATGGAATTAAAACTCAATAAAAATATTAGTATATCAATTTTGATAGAAATTGAAAAAAATTAATTTACTAATAGATAAAACAGAAAATTGTACCTTTCAACTAACACTTAGTGATCCTCTATCAATGTACGCTTACTGTTACATTTCTATCAAATGATTTTATAATATAACACTTTAATAAACGAATAATATTGTAAATAAATACTATTAAATAATTTTATTCTCGTGTAAAGTTCGACTGTCTTAAAATTCTTCAATTATTAATCGAACGCTGAATTTAATACTATCAAACAATTTTTCTTTGAAAATAAAAATAAACTTTATTATAAAATTATTTTAGATTAATAGATTTTTTTAGTGTAGCCATATTACGGTTCCTCTTATTGGAGATTTTTTTTTTAACAATTATTGTCTACGGAACACAAAATCACATTATTAATTAATAATCTCCTTCTTATTTTACTTTAAACATCTGAATATTATTAAAATAGAACTAACAAATTGTAATAGTTTTTAAAGTAACTCTAATTAAAACAAGAATTAAACTACGATTATCATATAGTCTAGGTCTTCCACCAACAAAATATTATACATTATTATTATCGAAAGCAGTTTAAAAAAACAACCTTTTGTTTTTTTTATTTATTAAAATTGTGTAAGATGAATTTAGTTTTATTTTATCTTTAAGGTAATTCTAAGATTTTATTTATACCATCCAGTAAATGCCGTATGACCTAAAAATTCAAAAATGATTTTATTGTTTAAAAATATGATAACAATTAATATTTATACCTTTTACACACCTAAATTCGTATATTGATGTACTATTTTGGTTTAATCTTTGTTCAGAGCTAGCTTGTTATTTAGAGATAGTTTAGATCTTATATACGTGGTCGGAGAAGATGGAGTCGGGAGTTAACATTTAGTTAACTAAATCTTCTAACCTTAGAATAATTTAGTATTTCAATTCATATGATTACTTAACTTATAATAACTTCTTCTACACGAACAAAGATCTTAGAATTCCAACGGTCAACTAACTAGTTAAATTCTATTACCTTATTTTCCACTTTAAACTAAAATACCACACCAACTCAACCACTTGTAAAACAACTTCACTAACCTTACCTAAAAATACTGACAGAAGGCTAAATTATAGTTGTCCAAGAGACCTACTGATAATTAAAAAAAAAAACTAACACAATAAATTAAGTTGCCGAGTGGCACCACTGGTTGTTCCTTAATTCTATTATACGTGTCATTTGCAAATAAATTTTTTTATAATAATTACTTATTGAACAACTGTGTATAGATTGTAAATTTTTAATAAAAAAAAATTCTTATATTAAATCTAATTGATTTTAATTAAGTAAGAAATCTTATATTTAATTTAGAGTCCCTATGAAGAATCGTGTACACGCATATTTTATATGATAAGACGAAAACAATATTTAAAAGTCAAACCTTTGAGCAAATTTTTGTTATTTAGCCAACTTAGTGATGTTAGGTCATCGTCCTCGTGGCTAACCGTAGACGAGTTGCATTTATCTTTCTCATCATCACCAATAGATACATCTTCAGAAGACAGTTGTCCTTCCTACGTATAAAATAAATAAAACAAATGTATATTATAAAATACAATTGCTGTAGCAAAGTAATAATGTACTAAATTCGAAATTAAAATTTGATAAAACTGATAAATAGAAATTATTGATCAGCAATTTTTAGAAAGATATGGGTTATTAAATTTTTTTGGCTAGCAAAGTTTTTCTTACACAGGTTGAATGTTACAAAAAACACAGTGGAGTAACAACATAATGGCGATGCATAGTTGAAATAAGTATCGATAATAACTGACAATAATTAAAATCACTATCATAAATAATTAATATGCAAATTTGTAGATAGTGCTTAATTTTTTGAAAAAATCGTTAGATTATACCAAAATCAACACCAACCCGGGTATGTAAAGTTATAATTATAATATTTATAATAAAAATGTTTGTTATAACATAATAATAAAAAAGAAGTCCGATTATCGAAAAAATAATAATTATTTTTAAATAATTTTTAATTATTATTAATTATATATAATTTATATATATAAAGGTTGATTCATTAAGGATAAGACACTCGTTTACTCAGTAACTATTGAAAATTTAAAATTTTTGGTAAGGAAAATATTGTTTGATTCAAAAAACACTACAATAATATGTAGTAAAAACATGATATTTTTCATCCCTTCAAGGTTAAAAACATTAACTTGAGTTTTTTTAAATGAGAACACATATTTTGAATTTAATAACATTTTTGAGTTTTTAATTTAATAGCAAATGGCATTTGAATTTTTAATACAACTTTATTCGTTTATTAAATATAAACACTTAAAGTTTCAAATTTTTGAGTTAATATACATGTATAATACACTAGGGATTAAAATTACAGGTAGCTAATTGGTTTTTAATGACATCGATATTAGCAGGTACAAAGCATTGTTATTATCAATGGTAGTAAGGCATATTGTTGTGAGTTTATAAATACACAAACTGACAATACAGAATGTATATTTATTGATAGTCATAATTGATAATGAACAATCCGTGACTGTGACAGCAATGTCATAAAAAAACAATTAGCTACCTGTAATTTTAATCCCTAGTGTATTATACATGTATATTAACTCAAAAATTTGAAACTTTAAATGTTTATATTTAATAAACGAATAAAGTTGTATTAAAAATTCAAATGCCATTTGCTATTAAATTAAAAACTCAAAAATGTTATTAAATTCAAAATATGTGTTCTCATTTAAAAAAACTCAAGTTAATGTTTTTTAACCTTGAAGGGATGAAAAATATCATATTTTTACTACATATTATTGTAGTGTTTTTTGAATCAAACAATATTTTCCTTACCAAAAATTTTAAATTTTCAATAGTTACTGAGTAAACGAGTGTCTTATCTTTAATGAATCACCCTGTATATTGATATATTGATGTTGAATAAAAGAAATTGTAAAAAAGAATTTACAAACAAAAATTTACAAAAAAAAATTTATTGATTCAAACATTTTTCAAAAAGTTATAACCATAAATTTTAGAACCAAACTCAACCAACATCATTGTGCTACTATTTTTTTTTTAATTTCATATTTATGTTTATACTTTCAACCAAACTAAACTTTTTGAAAAATGTATGGATCAATAATATGTTTTTTTATTAATCCCTTTTATCCTACATAGTTTGTTTTAAATAAGACCATTCCCCTTTATACAGAAGGTTTCAAAACTTAAATTACATGTATAAAAAGTAGCGTTTTTTTAACATAATTTTGAAAATATTCTGGAAATACTGTTACTTTTATCTGTATTTTAAATTAAGGATTATTTAATATACTTTTATTTGAAAAAAAGTTTGACTATTAGACTAATTTTTGTGGTAAAAATTGTAAAATTCAAAAAATTTAATAAATTGTTGTACAAAACATATTTAAATTTTTTTGAAAAATTAGTGTAAATTGCAATAATGTAAAAATAAAAGGGTATTAGGGGAATAATCACTCATAATTGTTTGTTATACTATATTATAATATATTTATTTTGACTTTCAACTTTTTCTGAGCACATTATTTATATTTGTAGTAAGGCTACACGAATACTAGGTTTTTGAAACGAGTTTGAAGTGAATAATATATTATTGTAGTTAATTATATTTTATATATTAAAATATTATAATTATATTTTCTCTCGTTAGATCGGTTCTTCAATATGCATTTATAATTCGGTATCCGTATCAAACAGGTGATTTTAATAGAATCTACACAGAGATTTATTTTACTCAATAATAATGGGGACTGTTCAAAAATGTTCGTAATTTTCATCTCCGATATGCATATGTTTTATACTCATTCCCAATGAGAGATCTATTGTCATTTCTTATCAATAGAATGCTTCTTCTATGTTATACAATTAAAAATTTGAATTTTTTTCTGACTAGTTTTAATTTGTTTGTTTTTATATATTTAGGTTTTTTTTTAATAATTAAGCCTCTATGTATTTTGTATTATAGTAATATTGAATTAATTTGTATATCAACTGGACTAATTATTCTTTTGTTGATATAATCAATATTTATATTATTCATCGTAATTAAAAAGTTATATTATATTAATAAATATTGAACTAAATAAAAATAAATAATACTTTGTGAGACAAATAATTAAATTATTTTGGTGTAAATTGTCAAATTAGGTGTAAGCATTAAGGTTTCTGTATAAATTCAATCCACGTAATTTATTCTAGAATCAAAATAAAATACAAGTAAATAATTTTTTTATATATCTACTGATCAATAATCTCTCATAATCAGTTGATTTACAGAAGCCTTTTATGAATTGGAAAAAAATAACGCCTTAAACTTCACGGTCAATATTTTTATTGAGTAGCGTTATTTAACAAAAAATTATTTTGTTAAATAAATGAAATAGTTTAATTTTTAGTAGGTTAAATAAGCATAGAGTCCAAGTATATTAAAAATACGTTGCTGACCACTTGATAGTTGTCCAAATACAAAACTTTTCTTTGCGTGTCTTTACTTTTGAATTTCTATTTATACTGACCCCTCGTCTATGCTTAAAAATAAATCTTTGTAAGGGTTTGATCACGGTCCATTTTAAATGACGACGATACATAAAAAATAGTTATCTCCAGAAACTATGCTATTTATTTTTTATTAGGCTTTTCATTCATTAGTAGATTATTAGTTTTAATTTTGTACTTTATCTATTCATATAAAACAGAACATTATTATTTAAAATACTATATAATAAACATCATGTATACTATGAACATTTTAATTTAAGTTACTTTATTATAAATAAAAGTTTAAAGGTTTAATACAGGAAGAATGGCAAAGCAAAAACATTTCTTCCCGAATCTACTAATTGTACGATTAAATCAAATCAATACTCATAAATTCAATAATTTAAAACCTATAAAAATTGTACTGAATTTGATGCGTATTTAAAACACATTTTTTTTTAAATTTATTATGTTCACCAAAATTACACACTTTTTGAATTAAGAGGTTTGATTAATTCTAAAGGAATGCCAACGGAACGTTTTTCTCTTTAATCATATATTACATTAAATAAACTTTAACTTTAAATAATTTAGAATAATTTTAGTATTCTGTTACTATGCGAAATATTTCAAAATAGGTAATTTTTTTCAAAAATTGTATGAGTTTTTGCTTTAATGTGCAATAACTCTTAGAAAACTAAATTTAGATAGTTTTTCTTTTTCGTCTTAGTTCATTATATTAGCTTTGATACAATGTATGTTTAAAGAATGTAGGTTTTTGGAATATTATCAATTAAAAAGAAAAAAATGTTGATATAATTTTCAAGCAGTACCTTAGATATTATATTTTATAAAGAAGCATGTTGTCAGTTAGTCAAATTGATGTCCTGAAATTCATAAGAAAATAGAATTTAATGTTCCTAATAATATTACTTGTCATGCTATATCATTTCTATTAAAGGTACGCTCCTATAGTTATGTTAAGTTTAGATTGTTGTACTGTATGTTATCGATTTGTAGTAATTTTGATTCTTTTTTCTCTATAATGTAAATTAATCTAAATTTATAATAAATAGTAATTTTTTTTTTTTTTAATAATTTACTATAAATATATATTAAAATTTTAATTATGCTTTATTTTGTCTTTACGATAGTATTCATTAATAATGAATAAATAAATAAGTTGAATAAAAACAAATAGAAAAAAAAAGATATCTAATCAAAATATTTGATTTTTTTTCATAGATATAGCTTACCCGTGTCGGAAATATACTGGCAGGTACTGAAATGAAGACTGTGTTTAAAGAGGCTCCATAATTACTAAAAGCAGTTACGCCTGTCTCTTTATTGGGCTCTATTTGGTCTGGTGCCATGTTCCCAAAGCTGAAATTTTATTTTTTAGTTATAAATAATTATTGAATTTTTAGTTGTATAAAGTACGCATAAAAGTGTAAAATAGTCATAACTCTTAACCATAAAGCTGATAATAGAAGAATATTTTTTTTTTTTTAAATGTCATAATATTTTCTTTTGTATTAAGAAATGTATTCGTATTTAACGTTAACGTTAAACGTTAAACAATGCAGATTTTCAAAAGAAAAACTTAAAAGTTAGCTAAACTCATTACCTGTCATGGTACATTTATTTATATTGAAAACTTACAATCAATGGAATGTAATTTTTATAGACCATAAATTAATTTTAATAGAGTTTGATCTGAGTGTAAATAGTAACACACGGCGTATATGCGCATGTGCATACTGAAAACGAGAACACAGATAGCTTTTTTTTAGTGGGGCTACAATGACTCACTATAAGAACATAAAGAGTAACGTATCGCAATTTGTTATTAGACAAAAATGTTATATTTTACATGTATTTATGAAACTAATTCAATTTTTGTTTGTGTATTTCATACCAAAATATTAAATTAGGGCTTCAACGACAAAAAAAAGTAAATAAAAATATAAGTTAACATTTTATATTGACTAATAATTTATGCAAAAAATTATAGAGTATTATACAATATAAGTAGATTTAACTTAGAAATAATAATAAGCACAATGTAATGCATTAATACACAAGCACACATGTTGCATATATTTAGCTTCCATATGTGGCTAAGAAAATTTTGGTATTTTGATGATTTATCCTTTTTTTAAATTTTTATAACTAAATTAGTCTCATTGGACAATATCCTAAAAAATATGTCGAAATCCAGGAAAATACAGAATTTTTTCTGATGTTAAAAAAAAATTATTTAAGAACTTTTTTTTAGAGATTATAGACCTTTTAAATCCTGTAGATGCATAACAGCGTCAAAAGATAACAAATTGAATCCATATGAACTTATCACGTTATAAACATTTTAACTCAATCACCGTAAAAAATTATGGAGATTGACTAACTAAAACGTTAATTAATTTTTGTATTGAAAGATTAAAAAGAGGGAATAGAATACATTTATTTTTAAATCAGATTAAAATTTTAACTTTTAACAAAGTTGACTCCTAATTTTCGAAACAAGAACAAAACATATATCGTACTCCATACAAATAACACAAATCTCAAAAAACCTAATTTGTAATTTTCCAGCTTTTATATATTAACCTTGAGGTTAATATATATCATAAAGAATTAATTTTAAATAAGATATAATAAATATTTCTAAGTTGATTTTATGATCAAAATACTAATACTGCGCAGACAAGTTAGGTTGAAATGTCTATTTTATATTCATGGTTTATTGCAATAAAAAACGAATACAAGTAGTTATCAGCTGTTTACACGTTGGCCTTGGCACCGTTGCGTTGTAACCAATTATAGTATTCGTCTTCTACTTAAAATATTTTAACATATAACCAATAAAACAAACATTTTCATAAATTCTTAGAAATTTTTTTCAAACAATTAAAGAGCTATATTTACTTAAAAATATATAAACAATAATTTTTTTGAAAATAAAATATTTTTAATTATTGAAAGCGTAGTCACTTTCAAAAACATTAACATTTTTTTAAGAAAAAGAATAATTTAAAATAAATAAAAAAAAAACACAATATTATTTTTAGATTAATCAGGTTCACGATATAAGTATATACGTCATATGAACTCGTAGTAAATAACATACGTTTTAATTCAATTCATGTTTAAAGGTGTAGGATTTCTGAAACATTTACAAAAGATGAAAATGTTGACTTTGTACGTAAAAATTAAAAAAACTCTTTTTAAATCATCCATATAATGGGGAAATTATAAAAATTATTTCTATACATATGATCAAAAAAGTTATAGATATTTTTAGTGAATAAAGTGTATATTTTAAAAAATATTTAGTTAGGTTTAGTGGTGTAGTGAAGGATATATAATATTACCAGCTTCTTACATTTTGTAAATTATTTTTTTTTTCAAATTTTATTGCAATATCCTGATCATTGTCATGATCAAGGTAATCTTTGATATTAAAATAATGACTACGAAAATCAATATATGATATTAAATGTTCGGAATACCCTACAATACGAGCAAAAACAACTTAATCAAATATCAGAGTAAGTGAATTTTGGAGCAAGATGTTGTTTTTGCAAAGGTGTTTTAATATATTTATAAAAAATTATTATTATCATAAGTACGTGATACAAAGCTTATATACTGTTGGTTTATACTAGTTAGTACATACTAGGACTGCGCAATTTTCCCAATTAATCAAAAAAAATGGATTTAATCGATAGAAAAAAAATTTGCTAGTTGAATAATCGGATTTATCGATTAAATTGATAACTGATTATAACAATCATTTAAAACTATGAAAATACGGAGTGGTTAGATCACCCTTTGATTTGCGAAAATCACTTATTATCAAGACAGTGATGATTTAGTTCATAAATGTAGATAACAAACTATATTGCTAACTGTCCTATACTACCTATCTAACCAAGTGAAGCCTTTTTCTTTTAAGCCAAACATTATTATACTTCGTGAACAAATTTTTTGTTATCATTAAAAAAGTTGTTAGTAACAAATTTTTATTTAATAACAAAAATATATTTGTACACGACATATAAGGAATGATAATGTTTGAAGCAAAGGTTCTCAAAAATCTTCAATTGTTTTTATGAGTTAAATATCTAATTTATTATCTAAATCTGTAATTTAACTTAACCAACAAAAATGGTAAATACCAATTTTCTTATAGTAGGTTTATATATTATCAAATAAAATTTAAAAAAATAATAAATCATTGAGAATTATGATTTTTTTAGGTAAATTTAATCATTTAAATCGATCCATCAAAATTATTTGTTCAAGTGATTGGTTCACCAATTATTTTCTTTTTCGAGCTAATTAGAATACTCATTGGTAGATTCATGGGTCACCTTAAATCATCTGTTATCTAATACTTTAAATAAAATACGTTAGTTGATGTTTTGTTAGATTCATTACATAATTCAAATACTGATTATAATAAAGTCAAAGATAACGGTTGTCTTTAAAAAAAAAAAAATAGGGTAAATGCCTATTTTAATGTATATAATAAAGTTATTAAAATAGTAAAAGTATAATAAAATGGTTCTTATTAAAATTTTAAAGATCGACTTTTTCGATTCAAAATACTTCTTGCGTGCTAAACAAATACCATGGCAATGCTTTGGAGCCTTTTTTTATTATATTAGCTCATTCATTATAAGTCATTCATACTCCAAAAATTTCGGTGTTCACAACTTTTTATATTATTTAAACGATTTGTTTCCTTTAAAAAAAAAAAATCGATAAAATAATAAAAATAAAAGTTTGTTGATAAAATTATAAAAAAAACATGGTAAATTACTTGCGAATAGTACCGACCACGTAAATTATACATATGAAGATCTATTTTAAAATTTGTTTTAATTAATAGATTTACTGATTCGAAAATTGTTCAGTGAATTAATCATAAACTTATACATCTGTACACATTATGTAAAAGTATATGATTTTATGTGTAACTGATAATTACATTAATTCCTAACACATTTTTCCTAACATTCCTAACAAATTTCAATAATTAATAACGTTTCTAATACTTTTTAATTTATCTAATATTGACATATTATAAATTAAATTTTTCATCTATTGTAATTTAAAAAATTTATTTCTTCTACAATTCTCAAGCTTCAACACTTGTAGTAGCATTTAGGTCGGTTGCACAGGGCAACACTATAGTCGTTGTCTTGGTTACGGTATACGATGCCGTTGTCAGGGTAACGGCCCACGTTCTTAGACGCGACGTTCAATGATGACGTCGCCGGTCACAATACCAAAGACCACATGATCTAATAAAATTGCAATGTAATATAGGAAAATATCTTATATGATAACCTTAGATGCGTAGTTGAGACTGTAATAATTTTGCAATGAAATGCATTCATAAATAAGTTTATTTTTCAATATAAATAATTAAAACAGTAAAATCATTTTTTTTTTATTTTCAGATCCTAATTATATTGACTTAATTTATAATAAAATTATTACTTTTTACAAGCCGGGAATTAGGTGACCATATTCAGAGGCCGATAGGTGATTTTTTATTTATCTGAAAATATTAGATGTGCTCTCAAACTTAAAAAAAAAAATTCACTCGATACGCTGTGGTTCATTGTAGCTACACTTATTTTAAATATATATATCATCTTTTTTTTAATAATGAATTTTAGTATCTAATATATTTATAATATCTTTAAAATGAATATTTTCGAGCAAATCTTTTTGAAAATTTGTAATAAACTTTGAATTATTTTTGATTGTTGAAAATTATAAAAGAAAAAATATAACCAGTTATAAATAGCAAGATCGAGAAAATCCTAGTGGGCTTATCCACCCTTGGTCATATTCATTCTGATCTCAAAATCAAAAGTCCCAGAAATATTTAAGACATAGAATAAATAATGATGTTTAGTTAACGCTTATGATACATAAAAAAACATTTAACTTTGGATCTCATGTTTTACAATGTTTTAATCTGAGCTTGACATGAAATTAAAAAAAGAGAAAATTACACTTTCTTTAAATATCTTATCAATTTGAGAACACTTAATTTTATATACGTTTCTTCATGTTCATACTAAATCAGGTTGTTGTGAAATTTATATTACGGTATGTATGAACCCATCAAGTTAAGTCAGATTATATCTTTCCCTTGAAAATTTTACGAATATCTTTGAAGTTCTATGTTAACTTAATAGACTTTAGTGAAGAGAGTGAAATATTTTTTAAAACCTCTGCAAATAAAATACTGGCTACATACCTGTGAATACTCACTAAATAAAAAGTTAATATATATTTTTTTAATTTTATAAATAAAACAGTCTGTATAGCTCGATTGAGAAAGCGGATTGCCTATCTATAGATAAGGTTCGCAGGTAAGGTTCGTTTCTGTACCGCTGCGTTTTATAGATTTTCTCGTCTTCTCTCATCAAAAATTAAGTTTTTAAGTTGAGTGGACGTTAAACATTAAAAAAAAGTTTTTAGAATATTTATCTATAAAATCTAGAAGATATTAGTATTTACGAGGTATTTAGAAGATCAGACGATAATTATATTTTTTCATTACACAAATTAGTACTGTGAAACAATTCTACAATAAAAAAAAATGTTTACTTAATTACGTGTATCATTTGTGGAAAATCCTAAAATTGTAAAATAGCTAAATCAATTAGATATATTCAAATTAATTTTGTTGTTGTTTTTTTAAGCCCACTATGGGTATAGCGTCCTTCCCCCAAAGAAGGAGGTATTTCTTAACTATTGATACTCCAAGACAAGTGATTAGTACATCGCTAGTGAGCGGTATGATGACTCCAATAACTGAACTGATTTTTCGCTCGGCAAATGAAGCCGCCCATGACCGAGTTTCGAACCTCAGACAATGTGCATCAAGTACTGCCACTCTAACGAGTTGGCCATACCGTTTTTCTTATACAAATTCAATAATTATAAAAATCTATGAACTGTGCTCTTTTTGAAAATTGAACCATGAATATATATATATTAAAGAATAAGGTTCGTCAACAATATCGATATTGCTTACTATTTTCTTTTTCCCACGGTATAGATTATTTTTGAAATATCACAATAATCGAAAAAAATGGTTTTATAAAAAAACTGTTTGAATTTTAGTCAATTTATTATGAAATATATATTATTTGATATTAGGCCAAAAACAATTCATGATAATCTTGTAAACATTTTTTGTACTAAAATATATAATTTCGATAAGACAAAAAATGATATTTATTGTATTTTACAAATTTAAAAATTGTATTTTACATTAGGTTATTTATAATGACAATTAGAAGATATACAGCAACAACTGGTTGAAATCTGAAAATTAAAATAAAATTATTGAGACACATCCCGAAAAATAATTCCTATTAGATGATAGTGATGAAGATGATGATGTTTTATTCTGTAAGAGTTTAAATTTTATTTTTGAAAAGAAGAAAAATAAAAAAATATGAACATCACTTATTACCTTTTCTTTATTATTATTTAAAAGCAAAATACTGAAACTATAATAGTATTATTAAAAAAAACATAAATCATCCTTTAATATAACCAATTTATAATAATAAAATCTTTTAAAAAAAAAACTTATTTTTCATAATAAAAAGTAATTTGAAAATATTTGATTATCGTTTGAGATATAACTATTATCTATATTTTTGAGATTAATATCACTGTCTGATTTGATTGGTATACCATAGACTGATTTTTAGAAACATGGTAGCAAAACTGTATTCTTGAAAATAAAAAAATCTTGAATTTAATTTTTGAATGTAATTTATTTTTCAAAATCGATTTATCACGATACTGGGAACATTTTTTTTCGATATTGCGATATATTACTGAAATTCAGATATCGATATCAAATTATATATCGTTAACAAAAGAATGATTTCAAATTAGGAACATGCACACAAAAAGTCTTCTTTGAACAATTTACAGAAAACCTCAAATTTTTAAGTGTAATATTTGTGACATTATTTAGTTAAAATACATGTAAAACATGATTTTCACTTAAATAAACTGCTTTCAAAGCAAACAACCCAACCCAACCAATCTAAGCAAGAATTAAATTTATCTCGTCGAATCAAAGTCTTAAGTATATTTTTACCAAAAGGAATAAACTATAATGACACGAACTATAAATGTAAAACAAAAATGTTTGACTACCTTAATATACGTTCTCCTTACTTCAAAACATATTTTATGGAATGTTCAAAGAAGTGGTCATATAAAATTTAATATTAAAACATAATAATTTATCAATAACTGGTCCAATCAATTAATTCGATTTAGAAATGTAAAAAATTTGATTGTTCAATAAATACAATGACTCATTAAGAACATAATTACCATAAACAAAAAAAAAATGTTCAGTGATGTAAAGTGATGTAAAGTGATTATAATAACTATAATTAAGTTATTTATAATAACTCATAAGCATAATTTTATGTTAGTAATCGAACACGTATATTTTTTAACTACTTAAAAAATTTAACAAGATTTATCAGTAAAAATTTAACCTCGAATAATGTTTTATTTATTAAGTATTATTTTTTAATTTATTTCTAATTAAATTTTTTTAATTGATATAAATATCATATCGTTCATTATTATTTTTATAAATATAAAAAAAGATTTTTCAGAAAATTGTAGTATATAACTATAAAATTACCGCGATGGAGTGAAAAACCTAATATGTACAAAAATATGCTAAAAAAATTCATTATTATCTGAGTAAAGTTATATAAAAGAACAAGAAATATTTTTAAATAAATTGAAAAAAACATACCTATGAAGATTTCAATGGAATCCAATTTTTTCTAACATACAACGATTTTTTTTGAAAGGTTAATTATAATTATACATATATAATTACATACATACATAATTGTATAATTATATTAGACATATTCAAATGTATAACGTGTAAATTTTTAATGTTATACACAAATTTGATTTCAAATATTAGTAAATAATAACTACTTTTTCAACCTTAAAAACTATTTAGAAAATATTCAATATTTGAGATCGTATACCTTTAGATTCATGAAAAGGCATCTTTTGGCGATTGAGATTTTATATTTCTACTCATAAGTAGAAACTCTTAAGTTTAACCGTATTTAATCTTAATGAAAATAACATCATCTTTATAGATAAATATTAAAACGTAAAGCAACATAAATAATTATAACAAATGACTCCATAATACATATTTTATTAAAAATAAAGAAATATATACATTAAATAATCAATTTCAAAATACAAATTAATGGTTCATAAAAACCAACAGTAATGTAGACTAAAATTGTAATATAAGTTATGCAAATACTATTATAATTATAAGTGGGTCAAAAACTTTCTATTAGCCCAAGTAAAATATAATCATACTTTGTGTCTAAATTCTTACCTTGATTTAAGTATTCATGAACAGATATTGTTATTTGATAATCATAATTCCACACATAAGAAATATTTGTCAAAAGTTAATGACTTAAATATATAATCAAACAGAACAGAAAACTTTAATAATAATTTTAACGATGAAATAAAAACACAAAATACACAATTAAGTAATAAATAATATTCTTCGTAGTATTTAAATTGATAATTCTTAACTCAAATTCAGAAATCTAAGTTAATTCAATTTGAAATAATTATTTTACCAACTGATCTGTAAATCTCCAACAATGTGAGACCGATATTTTTATGAAAACGTATAGAACGAACTCTCCTGTCGAAGTGCACAATATTACTATCATTCTATCAGTTCGTATAGTGATTGGCAAACCAAGTAAATATGATCTCTACTGTCATGACGACCAACACATTTCAGTTACAGGTTACTACACTGTTAAATTGATGTGATAATAAAAATAAAATACTGTGATAACAAAAAGTAACAAAATTGCTCTTTTGTCAAACTAAAAAGTATCATTGCTTTTTTAATAATCTAACACTCAAACCATAGTTATTTAAATTTATCTTTATGTTTTTAGCGTCATTCCTATTTTATTATAAAATATAATTTTATTTCTTCACTAGGTTACATGGATTTATATTTACTAAATAATTCTGATAATGAAAACAAGTTGCCAAACGTAAGGCTTACAAATATATGAATATTTGAATTTTTTTTTTTTATTATTTTTATATGTTTCTAAATAAAAGTTTTTGTTTAGAACACATATCATAAAGATTTATTTTGACCAATTTATTTTCGTTTTCAGACCACTGTCATTTCAGCATTTGAATTACATTGTAACTATTTTGTAAAATTAAATATTTCAGTAAAAAGAAATTTTTTTTTATATTGTTATGTAAGGAGATGAGTTATCACAAACTAAGCTTTTATGCATAAATATTATTCAGAATGATTAAATTTGATTCTTATATTAGTAATCATATTTAAAAGTATAAACATTCAATACAGTGGTTATATAATTGGGTTGAGACAAGTATATATATCTGACAATGATTTAAAATAGCTATCATAGAAACATATTGATACTAATCTGTAGATAGTGTTTAATTTTATAAAGGAATTGTTGGATAATTGCAAAATTTAAATAATTTCCTATTTTTTTAACTTTATTTTGATTACAAGTTTTAAAACTTATGAATAGTGAATGGATAATTACTTATTACATTAATTCAATTTAGTATTAAATTGATACTCAATAATTTAGTAATGTAATTAATTTTTATGAAGACGAAAAGTTATAAATAGTTTTATACTGGTGATTATTTTAATATTAGTCACTTCATTTCTGATAAAATAATTATTATATTAAATAATTATTTTTAGAATTTTTTTAATATTTGTTCAAATAAAGCCTGATATGTACTGTAGAAAAAAATTGTCTTGATGACTTATCTTCTACTTGTAAATAGCTGCCTTTTTACAAGTTATGCTATTTTTATCTTCAAATTTTTGATTTTATATAATGTATTTTCAACTTTTAATTGATATAAAATTTTAAAAAATGTATGAATGATCACAATTTTTTTTTTTTTTACTTTATGTACACCCCTTTAATCCGTCATACTTTTTTTTTAATCAAACAATTTCCTTTTATTCTGCATTATAAATAATTGGCTTATTTTTTAAAACTCTATGCTTTTCATGTATCTGATACTTTAATTTTCACTGAATAAGTATTTTTTGCATGTAATTTATTTGAACTGTTGATGATATATTCTTGAAAAGTCTATTACTTATACATTTTACTTTATTATATTCATTTAAAACATCAATAATTTCAATTGTTATTATTTTTTATGATTTTAGTATTATTTTTTAAAAATAATTTTACATGTTTCATTAATTAAAAAAGTAATTTTTGTTTATTTTGAAAAATTTAGTATTTTACTAATTAATATGGGTACATATTTTAAACAATTATTTACAATTAATAGTATAGGAAACATGGATAGTAAAATTATCAGTATTTCATAATATTAAATATTATTCAACATAAATTTTATGTTGAATTTTGAATGAACTTATTTAAAAACCCAGCACAGTGGGGGGGACGTGGCATAGTTGGGTCCAGTATAGATTTAATATGACAGTGATTAAAATCACTATTATAAGAAACGCTTCGATGCAAATCTGTAGATAATGTTTAATTCTAAGAAATTGGTGGATAATTACAAAAGCAACAGTTGCTGTTGGGTTGGGTTTACTATTTATAGTAACTATTAAATAGTTACTATTTCCTTAATTATGTCCAGATTAGTAATTCTTAGATTCAAAAATATAATATAAAATTATATATTATATAATTGTTATATTGAATTGTTTTCAAATTATTATTGATTTTGATTTTTATATGTTAAAAGTAATAATTTTTAACCTACTTTATTTCGTCCTTTAAAGTGTAAGTTTTTAATAAAAAAAAAAAAGAATTTATTGCCATAACTTTTAGCTCTACTTGCAAGTTTGAAATTGACATTATTCAATAGTAAAAAATAGAATTGTTTAGATTAATATGAAGGCTGCAATATTTGTAATTACTATTTACAATAAATTTATCAGAGAAGTTCAACTTTTTTTGCATTTTTATCGTAATAGATCACTTAAATAAAAATCATAGTAATAATTTCTAATTAATTTTTGGTTTTTATAAAGATTCTACAACGGAAATATTCAGAACTTAATTAATTTTAATGATTTTCTTTAACTAAAAGAACCAATAAAAAAAAAAAATTGTTAAAAAGATTTACTCAATTGTGTGTATTATAAAATTTGATTATAATTGTAAAAATCCATCGTTAAATTCAGGTGAAATTAAAAATAATTTTTTTTTTTTAATTTATGATTTATATAACATGTTACAAAAAAATTTGGATTATTATAGACTGGCAGTAGCACACACAAATAGAGTTAAAAAAATACAAAGTAAAATTATTTACATTTGTAGTTCAATACTTTTATCATATCAAATCTAATTCAACAATAAATACTTTAAAAATATTAGAAATGAATGATTTCAATTGTTTATATGGAATTTTTAAAGGTAATATCTTCAACTAAATACAAATTGTAATCATTTGACATATTGTTGAAAAAAGTAGGTTAAGTGAGAGTTGGCTAAATAAATCATAGGCACAAAAAGAACCACATAGTAAAATAATATTAACATGAATAAAAAATTTCTTCTCACGAGGGAAGACTATAGTGATGGGATCCTTGATATTTATTGAAGTTATTGAATCTAAATAAGCTAAAATAAAATGAAAAAACCAAACTGTAACCATTTTCACCAAGAAGAAATTGTATATTATTCAACGGCAGTTATTAATAAGATATTATGTTTGAATAAGTGCAATATTTCCAGCTTAATTATGATTATTTATTATTTTGTCGTTGATTTATCACATACAACATTAAGACTAATTTTGACAAAATTAGAAAAAAGACAAAATATATTCATTTACACAATTTTTTATTATTAAAACCGTCTAGACGATTTACTATCAATTATATGTAATACATATAATTTATTGTCTACATTATATTATTATTATTATAGTAACGGACTTTTGATAAATTTTTGCAAAACAATATGAGCGTTTTCATAATTAATTGTCGGTGTTCAAACGACTACTTAAGCTATAGTAGTTGATAACAAATTAAAATTTTACTTTATATTATTTACTCCATTTATTAACTGTATTTTTCTTTTTTTTTTTTTTAGCAGACTTATTACAATTTAATCGATGCTATACAGTGGCGTGTCATACATGTGTGCGATGTGTGCATATTCTACGGGCCCTCGGCTTGGGGGGGCCTTTATTGCTTAACATTAAAAATATAAATAAATACAGATATTTACAAAAAAGTAAAAAAATTTGTTTTCATTTTCAAATCGTTCTTATTTTCTCATTCTGATATCAGTATATTTTTGTTATAAAATATATAGATATTGTTTTTCTGTGATGTACTGTACTACTGCAGCGACGACTAAACGTTATTTATAGCAATCTGTTTTCCGTGGTTTTTTGTTATCGCCTTTTCGATGATGGGCCGTCGTTTTATAGTCATTATCTTCAAATGTCCACAGCATATATTATAGACGTTTAGACTTAGATTTACACGATTAAATACTATCACTACTTAAACGTTATACATCGATTTATTATTTTGTGATACTTAAAGTCGTCGTTCAGAGTTTATTCTAATTATTTACAAAATAATCAATAAAATATTATACTTTATTAATTATTATTATAATGGCATCAAAATCAGCAAGTGGTGCTGCGAAACGTAAATTAAAAAAACAAAAAGAAGAATCTGTTAAGAGGATGCCGAAAATTGATACATTTTTTAAACAAAACCAAAATAAAACAGAAAAAGAGCAAGATATTGATAACTCAGGTATTTTGTTAAATTCAATTAATACTGCTAGTAATTCTGTCTTAGAGTCAACTGCTATATCTGGTATTGATACTTTCAATGCTAAAAATGTTGAACCTAATATTTTCAACAGTTTAATCTGTGAACGTTTTCCTACCGACAAAGTTCATTTTAAAGAACCGCTAAACCATCAAGAAAAACGTTTTATAATTTCTCAAGGACCTTGTCAGCCTAAGGGTTCATTTCCAACTGACAATGATAATTCTAGGGGAGATTATCGTTTCCGCCAAAATTGACCGTATTGTTTCCGCCAAGCATCGTTTCCGCCAAATCTGAATAAGGTCGGTTTTTCGTTTTCAATTCTAGATCGTTTTCAGAAAAATTTTACTATTTTACAAATCAGGCTAATATTATTTTAAAACGTACATGGCTATGTTACTCATTAACTTTAAATAAAATATATTGTCAATGTTGTTGGTTGTTTTCTACTCAAGATAGAACTAGTTCATCTTGGATTACGGGAAATAATGATTGGAGACATCTTACTCAAAATATTAAACGCCATGATGATTCAAATGATCATATTCAATGTTGTATTATATTCGAGCAATGGCGCCAAAATAAAACAATTTCCGAAGAAATGGAATTATCTATTCAAAATGAATGTAACTTTTGGAGACAAGTATTAGATCGGGTTATCAATGTCACATTAACATTAGCTACATCCAACTTGTCTTTTAGAGGTCACCGAGAAACCGAATTTAGTAAAAATAAAGGCAATTTTTTATCAATAATTACTCTTATTTCAAAGTATGATCCCATATTAGAAAAACTATTAAGTATGCCAGCTGGTAAGGGTACAGAAAATTATTTAAGTAACACTATTCAAAATGAGATAATTACTTTACTTGCAAATACGATATTAGAACAAATTATTTCAAGTATTAACCAATCGCCATTTTTTTCTGTCATAATGGATACCACTCAAGATATAAGTAAGATTGATCAACTAAGTCAAGTTATTCGATACGTTTCGGTTGTTTTAGACGCTAATGGGTATCCTAAAACATTGCAAATAAATGAATCATTCATTGGCTTTGTAGAAATTTTAGATCAATCAGGTGTTGGTTTAGAGGAATCTATTATTAATTGTATCACAAAAAATAATTTAAATTTGTCTAAACTTTGTGGTCAAGGGTATGATGGGGCTGCCAACATGAGTGGTGTATATTCAGGTGTCCAGGCTAGGTTAAAATCTAAACAAAAATTGGCAACATATATCCATTGTGCTTCTCATAATTTGAACTTAGTTTTAAACGATGCAATGAATTCTTCAACGGAAGTAAAAAATTTCTTTGGACTTGTGGAAAAAATTTATACATTTTTTTCAAATAGTATTAAACATTGGCAATTACTTTTATCTTCAGAGTCATCAGATATTTCATTTACATTAAAAAGATTATGTACCACTCGTTGGTCATCAAGGTATGATTCTTTATTAGCTATTCGACATCGTTATGTTGATATTTTAAAATGTTTGTCGCAAATAATTATTCGAAGCAAAAATAAAGATGAAATATTTGAAGCAAATTATTTAAAAGTTCATATGGAAGATTTTCAATTTATATTCAGTGTAGTTTTCATTGGCAAAATTCTGGAAACTGTAAATGTTGTATCAAAAGTTCTTCAGTCTCCTAAACAAGAACTGAGCACAGCAGTTTCCTTGCTTAATTCTGCGTTGAGAAATCTTCAAGAATACAGGTCACAATACACTGATTTTTTTGAAATAGCAGTAGAAATGGCAAAAATATGGGGTGTACCACAAAAATTTCAAGAAAAAAGAAACCGAAGAGTAAAACGATTTTATGACGAAATCCTCCAAGATTATTGCTTTACTTCAGCAGAAGAACATTTTAAAGTTAATATATTTTATTTAACATTAGATAATGCAATAATGCAACTAAAGGAACGTTTTACCAGTTTAAATAACGTATTCAAAATATTTGAAGTTATTCAACCGAATTCATTGATTAATTTAACAGACGAACAAATTTATAACTCCGCTAATAAATTGGTAAAATATTATGATTCTGCTTTATCTAATGCTCTTGCTGGTCAAATTTTATCGTTCAGATCTTGTTTTAAAGAAGAAATTACAAAAAAAACCTCGGTAAAAGAAATTACCGAATTACTTGTTATAGAGAATCCTACATTAGCAACAACATTTTCTGAAATATTTACAGCGTGCATGTTATTTTTGACACTTACTGTAACAGTTGCTACAGCGGAACGATCATTTTCGAAATTAAAACTTATCAAAAATTATTTACGTAGCACAATGTGTGAAGAAAGATTAAGTGGACTTGGAATTCTGTCTATCGAAAACGACCGAGCTCGTCAGTTAAANGTCTATTGAAAACGACCGAGCTCGTCAGTTAAACTTAAAAGAAATAATTAATAACTTTGCGGAAAAAAAAGCACGCAAACGAAATTTTCACTGATTTATTATTATTATTATATTCTTATCATTATTATTTGTTATATTATAATATATTATTTTATATGTATGACGTAATTTCATCTTATTTCTTACTTAATTGGAATTATATACCTATATCTATATTATATAGAATAAAAAAATAAAGAGGGCCCTTTTTTTAGTTTTGCACACAGGCCCATCTTTGGGATAAATCGCCACTGATGCTATATCACGATTAATGTATATTTTTCAACGGCAGTTGTTAGGAATGAGATATCACGTATGAATAAATTGTAATACTCAAATAATTATTAATATTGTTATAATCAGATGATTAACCTTATTGACTTATTGCCCATAAGTAGCAATCAATAAGATGGCATAGTATTAGCATGTTTTTTTTTACTGTTTTTATTTTGATTCCTAAAATGCTGTATTTTGTTTTTACTTATTAATAAAAAAACTGTGAAATAATCTAAGTAAATAAATTTTAAAAATTAAATGTTGATTGAATAACAAAAAAAAACCCAGCACAGGGGGGTCGCGACACAGTTGTGACGTGGTATAGTTGGATCAAGTATAATGATATCTGACAGTGATTAAAATCATTATCAAAAATAAACGCTTCGATGCAAATCTTTAGATAGTGTTTAATTAAAAAAAAATTGGTGTTTTATTCCAAAAGCTACTTGATCTGCTGGTTCCTTATTAATATCTCGATTAAGATAAAGTATGTTGAATGAAAAAGGGTTTATTGAAAAATATTATTTCTCATAAAAAAATTGTGTGGATCCATAAACTTTTCAATAAGTTATAGCATTATAAAGTTAAATATAATATAAATAATAAAATCGAGAATTTTCACACGAAAATAGCATTCGGTAGCCATTTTCGCCGTGAAGACAAGTCCAAAGACATCAAGCATCTATATAAAAAAAAATTATATTGATATGTCCATTTTTGAAAAAGTTAGAGCATTATTAAGTTAAAAATATAAAAAAAAATTATTTTACAAAAATCGTAATTTTTATTAACTTTGATGTGAACTTTCACCACAAAAACAAGTCCAGAGGTCAAATTTTTTTTTTCAAATTAAAGTACATTACATTAGCTTTAATTTAAGATATATATAAAAGTGTCAGACCTTCCGGAACATTTTCAAAAGTTAAGTTGAAAAAGTTAATTTTTTGTGAAAAAGTTGTCATTTTAAATCTCTCCCTGTGGGCAGAAAAAAGGTCAAATTTACAAAAAATATCGATTTTTAAATTTGTAATTTTTTTGGAGGTTTCCCCCATTTACGGGGAAGGAGGGAAATTTTTTCAATTTTGAAGGGTAATGTCTTCGACTAGATACGATTTGTGATCTTTTGACGTATCGTTGAAAGAAATCCGTTCGGTGAGAGCTGAGAAAAAGTGGTAACAGACACAAAAAAAAAAAAA